TCTCTGAAGGCGATTCTCAACGAAACGTGTTCAACGGTTCTAGGAAGAAAGAAGAGACAAGACAAGGAATGGCTCTCAACGGACACTTGGAAATTAATAGAAGAGAGGAGAATGGTGAAAGAGAAAATGATTCAATGCAAGGACGGACAGGAGAAGGAGACGATGAGCTCAACTTACAAAGCATTGGACAAAGAAGTGAAGAAGAGTGCTAGGAAGGACAAAAGACGATTCTACGACAATCTAGCTACTGAAGCTGAGAAGGCAGCAGGCAAAAGGGACCTGAGGACACTATATCAGATAACCAAATCTCTATCCGGGAAGAGATCAACACAAGCGAAACCTATAAAAGACAGCCAAGGGAACCCAATTACCAAGGAAGAAAAACAGATTAAACAATGGGCGGATCACTTCAAAGGACTCTTGAACCGACCATCACCTGCAACCCGTCCAGAAATACCAACAACAGCGCACACACAACTGCAAGTTGACACCAATCCTCCAACGAGAGCTGAAGTCTTGAATGCAATCAAGCTTCTGAAAGCTGGAAAATCAGCCGGACCAGATGGAATACCCTCTGAAGCACTGAAAGCCGACCCAGAGACGATAGCAGACATGCTGACTCCATTATTGCAAAAGGTCTGGAAGGAGGGAAAGGTGCCTACTGACTGGAGGAAAGGTTACCTCGTGAAACTACCAAAGAAGGGCGACTTAGGCCTCACTCTGCAAGAACTGGCGAGGAATCATGCTCCTATCGACGCCAAGTAAAATCCTGAGTCGCATCATCCTGGAGAGATTAAAGGACGCACTGGAGACAGAACTCCGACCAGAACAAGCTGGATTCAGGAAAGGCAAATCATGTACTGACCAAATTGCAACTCTACGCATCATCATCAAACAAAGCATGGAATGGCAATCAAACCTCTACCTCAACTTTATAGACTTTGAGAAGGCCTTCGACAGCGTTGACCGTGAAGTAATTTGGAAATTACTCGAGTACTACGGCGTACCCCAAATATTCATCAACCTTATTCAACAGCTGTACGACAACGGCACATGTCAAGTGATCCACAACGGAAAACTCAGCCAGGCGTTTGGAGTAAACACAGGAGTCAGACAAGGGTGCTTATCATCACCAATGATATTCCTAATTGTGGTGGACTGGATTATGCGTCAGACAGTGGGAAACGAGAAGACCGGGATATCCTGGACCGACGTGAAGAACCTAGAAGACCTGGATTTCGCGTGTGGATGATTTATGTTTGATGTCACACGAAATCGAAGACTTACAAGCGAAAACCGACAAACTGGTCGAAGAAGCAGCCGGCGAAGACAGGACTCCAAGTGAATACAGACAAGACGGAGGTTATGAAAATAACCAACCAACAACAACAACAGCAACATCCAGCGTCAATCACCATCAATGGGAGGGATTTGAAAGAGGTTATTTCATTCACTTATCTAGGGAGCATTGTCTCAACTACAGCAGTCGGGACGGACGAGGATGTCAAATCGAGCGAGAATTGGGAAGGCAGACGAGAAGCACATTCATCAACCTGAAACAACCAATCTGGAAATCTTTGTCACTCAGCACCAACAACAAAATTCAGATTTTCAATACAGACGTCAGGTTAGATCTTCTATACGGATCAGAAACCTGGCGGGTCACAAAGTGTTTATTTACTGCTGCTGAGTGAGTTATTAGAGTTTCCCCGTCGCCAATTATGTTATGTACTCGTCGAGTAGTTAATAGTCCTGACGCGGAAAGAGGGAAATCAGAGGACCATCAGGTTTACGATGATACTTGTATTTTCCAGACAAGGAAATAAATGTCACACAAGAGTGTGAGTGGAAGGGTACTCAGATGTACGAAATGTGTGTACAAGAATGAACAAGGGTCTAATACAAAAGTATATATGAAAATGGCTAATACACATGAACCAATAAACAGCCAGTCTTAACATGATTGGTTGTAATGTCATGTGACAACAAGGTCATGCAGTCAAAAGCATATTGTCAGTTATAATGAAATATCGATCCATATACACATAGCGAAATATAGTAGACTGTCAAAAACAAAACACACATGTGGATACATATCACAAAGAATATTTCCAACAGTCTGTTGCAGACCTTCATCAACAACTGTCTTCGCTGGCTCTATACTGAAGATCAAATGGCCGGGCCGGGAAGAATCACCAACTAGAAACTTTGGGAACAAACAAACAAACAAAACAAGAACCAATCGCCCAACAGCAACAAATATGCAGGGGAAAGTGGATTGAGATGGATTGGACACTCGCTCGCTGAGGAGGCCACTGGGTGACATCTCGCGCGCGTCAGGCCATTGCTCGAGTGGAACCAGGCCGAAAGGAAAGCGGCGAGTGGGACGTCAGTGCAAGGGTGGCATGGAGGAGATGGTGTGAAGAGGAGTTGAAAGAGTATGGACTAACATGGATGCAGGTGAAAAGTACAGCAGAAGGAAGACAGAAGCAAATGGAGACGTGGAGTTGAAGCCCTGTGTTCTACTAGGAACCCTCGGGAGCAATAATAATAACTTTGGATCATGGAGTGATAAATTAGGGAATATCCTTGCAGTATATAAGAGAAATTTAGTTTTGCGTAAAATCTAGCTGCTAGTGTATTTTCAGACTCAGATGATAAGGATAGTAGGCTCCTGTGGCCTATGTAAGTCCTTGCAAAATATATCTCTGTAAATACGATTTAAAAACTATTCAGATTTTAAGTTTATTTATTTTGATTGGCTGCTCAGGGTCATCTGGAAGATTTTTCATAGTTAATTGTATACTTCAGCTTTGCTCAGGTACCTAATAAAAAAGGATTTATATTGGTTCGAACCTCCAATCAGAACTCTGGGCCTCAAAGTGCGCGTATTTCGATTTGTTGTTCAAGGTCATCCTGTCGGTTAATGTGGGTTTAAACGGAGGGTATTGCCATTATACTTCTTGCACCTATAAGCAACTTGTTTAATATGAGTTCGTCATGTATCTGTTCGTTGAGAATACATATCTTCCTATATAACTTTTACCCACTCTTTTGTGTAACTTACCTTCGTTTTCATAGATCTGTAACGTCATTGGTGTGGTTTAAACCACGACAATTGTCGTTTTTCGACCCCTCAGTTCTGCGACTTCGTGTTGGATTGCCTTGGCCGTTAGAGGGAAAATGACCGCTACTTATTGTAAAGGATCTTTTTACACTATTTTGCCTCGTTAAGACTGTTATCTATGTAAGTATAAAACTTGAGCACTGTGGTAGAGTATAACACCAGTTTAAATAAGATTTTATTTTGATAAATCACAGTGTTATACAGTAATATTAACTGATGACCACGTTTCGAGCACAAACCATTGCCACTCATAATCATATCAAGTTACTCACACAACTTTTTTCCCTTCATTTATATACATGTGTGGAATTGATTAGACATTTGAATAAAAATCAATATAGGATAATATACATTCAGAAATAATAATATGAGTGTTATTGATCAAATACAATAAGATGAGAAATAAGATGTTTTCATGTATATATATATATATATATATAAATGAAGAGAAAAGTTGTATGAGTAACTTGATATGATTATGAGCAATAGTTTGTGCTCGAAACGTGGTCACCAGTTAACATTACTGTATAACACTGTGATTTAACAAAATGAAATCTTATCTGTAGTGGAGTGTCACCTCCGATACCCAACAATTCAAAGAGCAACAGCTTACTTTCAATTGTTGTGAAGATTTATGTTATGTTGTTAACACATGATTCTAATGCCACGTATGGTTTGACTTGCACCATCTCTGGCGTAGGCGTGACATCCGGCTATCAACCAAGGGACGTGTGTACTGCTCATCGGTTCGCTCCGTCCTTCTCTATGGCTCTGAAACATGGCCATTACGAGTTGAAGAAATGAAAAGGTTGACTGCTTTCGATCATAGATGTCTGCAATCTCTTTCTCACGTTAGGTGGTTTAAGAAGGTAAGTAATGTTGACGTTAGGCATAGTGTTGCGCAAACAGGGAAAATCAATCGACGAGGCTATAAAGTTACATAGACTGAGATGGCTAGGTCACGTGGTGCGCATGCCTAACCATCGCCTCCCTCGACGGGCATTGCTAGCTGATATAGGTTTTTTGTTTGTTTTCGACATAGAACTTTGCACAAATGTGCGGAAGTTCAAGTCGCCACATTCCGTGTAGCACGCGATATAGGTGCAGGCTGGTAAAGAGTAAGTGGTGGCCAAACAAAAACATGGCCTCATCAATCCGTGAAATCCTTGACAGTTAAACTGAGTCGGTCAGGTAGGGAGATGCAGACTTCCGTCCGGGTTGGGGCCCTCGGGACTCTAGGAATCAATGGCTGGAGACAATAGGTGAGTGACATGGCTCAAAATCGTTGTCAATGACCAGCGCAGATGTATTCAGTCTCTGTAATCTTTCATATTCCTTTCTACCATTACCCATTCTGTTTCACTCTTATACTTGTCAGACTGTATTGATTCTCTTCACTCATCTTCTTGTCTACCTTTGTGTGCTATTTGGAACGTGGCAACTCGAACTGCTGCACTTCGGTGCCAAGTTTTATGTTGAATCCAGACAGATTTCCGCAGAATGCGAATCTAATATCCAGAAAAATATATAAAAGCAACTTTTATAGATTTGTACACAAATTGTTTCATGTGGTCAGTTTACAAACACCTATAAAAGCTACTTTGAACATATTCAACCATTGTATCCGCTAAACTTTGAAAATCACTACTGCTTTTATCTGTAATGATTAAGTTTCGGCTGACCTTTTTATGCACAGTGTTCTAAAACCTTTATTTTATTATTGGTTCTTGGTTTTAATTTCAGATTGTCATCCATTTCCGACAGCTGTAACTCTCCAGTCGAATAAACTTTTGCAAATCTCATTTTGATGACAGATCAACAAGAAGGGTAAACAGTGTGACTTGAAATTGTACATAGAAGTATTGCCCTCCAAATGAGTGAATTTGTGAGACAAGGTGTTGTGCGTGATGAAAACGGTATATACACAATATTTTCTCTATTTTACGACATATTCTTTGCAGGTAATTTAATTATACCTCCAACTAGACGTCCTGACGGGACATGGAGAAAAGCTGTTCGCGTTAAGGAAGGATACATTCCTCAAGACGAGATTCCAGTGTACGTTAGCTCGAGATCTTCCAAATAACCTTATACTAATTAAAACTGGTAGTTTTGTTTGTTTGTCCTGGTGGTAATAAGACGAGAAAATATTTATAAGTGACAAATTCGTTGAAAAATGCATTTATTATTTTATTTTATTATAGCTTAACTCCATACAGTTTTTTTGATACAGATATGGAATTTTCAGCATGTGATATCGGTAGCCCAAATTTAGCAGGCCGGCCATTGATATCAGATGTGCGTCAGCCGGGAATGGAACCCCGGACCATGTGCATGGTTGGCGGTCGTCCTAACCGCTGTGTCACCGATGATCTCTTCATTATATGTAGCTCATTTCCAATAGACAACGCCCATTTATTTAAAAAAAACTTTGTGGGTATTCAGATGAGAAAATATATCAAGCAAACAGTTGCTTCCAGTTATTGTCTGCAGGTCCTACAGTTATAAGTGCTTTTGGAAGTGGAAGTGTGTGGGCGGTCGTCACTTCCCGGCTGCCCACACCGTGGAAGTTGATTGATCCTCCGGGTACCTGAAACAAAGAGAGTTAGTGTTGCGTGACAGCAGAGCCCAGGGGACAACTGATTAAGGCCGGTCACACACGGCCTGTATGAACTGGTTTCTGGGATTGGTTCCGTATTAGTAAACCTACCACCGGTTACGGACCACCGTAGGGTAAGTCGGGATGTACAATTTTTGGGGTCGACCTTTTCTAACCCCCTCTCTCTGGAGTGGAGAAACAGCATAGCTGGCATGCTGGTCATTTGAGGGAAACACCTCACTGCTGTTACACTCCTGTTCCCCAGCAGTACGGCTTCGCCCTCAGACCCCCAGCATAGTGTAAGAAAGATTCTTGCTCAATCCTGGTAACTGCTTTTAGTCTAATCGCTATCCTAACAACCTTCCTGGCATGGTGGGACCTGCAGAAACATTTGTTCCAGCCAGTGCAGCTTGTTGGGTGATCGTGATGTGCAAGCCCCACCACCACGTCAAGGTAGCAGCTATCGGTCGGGGTTATAAATGCAAGATGACTAACTTTTAACGACGTAAAAGCTCTGAAAACCTGCATCGGTTGAAGCTGTTACATTGCGGATAAACGTACAAAAGTAAAGAAAGCAATGTAGTGAAACCACAATGGGTGGATGTACGAATGAGGGAAATTAGTGAACGCTTTCAGAGGATGAAACATGACAAGGATGAAACGAATTTGCATCATTCTAAAGAATTTCGACCAAATTTATAGATTTTGCAGACATCCGTTTTCAGCACTTTATGAACCTAGCCAGACAATCTACATCTTGCAGCTTGGCCCAACCAACACTTCGTTCATGCAGGGTATGCATTAAAAATGCTCAGCCGTACACATAACTAAAGACTATAAACGTAGTAGATTCAAATCTTTAACGATGAGCTAATGGCTATTTTAGTGTTCATTCATTTCTGTTAGCTTCGCGATTTCACCTTCATGCTTTCACTGCAGTATAACCTACCTACGCTATGATAGTACTTTATTTTAGCTTTATCTCTATCCAGCCTGTCGTTATTCTGTGGTAGGACTCCAAGCATCAGTCGTCAGGGCCATCATAAGTCGTTGGGTCACTGCAGTGTCCAAGTTTGATCACCACTTGAAGGTGACAGCTTCTGGTCTAGCTGGGACTAAAACTATGAAAATAACCCTGAGGTCCGGAGACAAGCTTTCAGAGTTCCTTTTCCGGAGCTAGTAATCATCCCAGAACACTGTCTTCACTTATTCGGACGTTTTACAAGTATTGGCCCAGCAAACTCCATGCCGTTCAGTATTGTCTGTTACTGAAACTGGTTGAAATATTCTCCCGTGATGTGACGCTTTGTAATTACTGACGGTTATGTAAATTCAGTTGTTTTATTCCATAATGACTGCTTGGATGGGTCTCAAATGATCATTTGACCAACTGACTGAAGACATTATTAGATATGACTCGGAACCGAAATCAGTTTCAGCAGTGCAATTTTATCACTACTGAAACTATTCCAAACATGTTCGTGAATGTACCTAGTGAAAATGCTGTTTATTCTTTCACTATCTTTAACTTTGTGTGAAATAGTTATCAATGCTCGTGGTTTATTTAGTTTGTTACTTAAAGAGATAAATTCCCACAACTCCGTAATGACTGCCTAATGATTCATTCACCTGGATTACAATTAAGATTAGGTTTTAGATTATGGTTTCATCCTTGTTACTTGTAACTACTGTGTTGGCCTTGTAAAAGCGTCCCAATAAAGTTGTTTAGCTAATCGACTTTGAATCATAAGTTTTATCTCTTTCTTGCGAGACTGAAATTAACTTACATGTTGCTAGGCTATTGAGATACGTTAGATCAAATGCGTCCAAATACTCGTTCACTCCTAATCTTGTGTATTTTGAGTGACTTAGCAACATGTCGTTTATAGACATCTTGTTGGCGGCGTTATGGATTTCTATATGTGTGACTCATAAGATAAGAATTGCACTGATTGAGGCACTCACACTACTCGAACTCATGCAGCCAGGTGAGGGCTAACGGTGAGTTGTCATCTAAAGTGGTGACGACTAATGGTGTCCGTCAGGGATGCCCATTAACCCCATTTCTATTCAGTTTCATCATAGATGTACTGATGTACTTAACCCTAACTCACTTCAGAGACTCCGGGGTTGACTTGCTACCAGGCTATGAATAATCTCGTTGACTTAGAATATGCAGACGATATAGTCCTTTTACGCGAGGACGCTGACAAAATGCAGAGTCTTCTGAACACCTTCAGGAGCTGCAATCTACGAATGTTTGGGATGCGATTCGCTTCCTCCAAATGCAAAATGATGTTACAGAACTGGACTACAGCGACTCCTAGTTTAGAAATAGAGAGTGAAGTGATAGAGCACGTTGACCACTTCACTTATTTGAAAAGTACCATCAGCCCCAACGGGTTGATCACTGACGAAATCTCAGAATGGACACAGAAGGCTGTTTCGCATATGTCAGTTTACGCAGTCTGTGGCGTAGACAGGATATCCGGCTATCGACCGAAGGCGGATGTACTGCCCATCAGTCCGCTCCGTCCTCTTTAATGGGTGTGAGACCTGACCATTGAGAGTGGAAGACATGAAAATATTAGCTGTGTTTGATCATAGGTGCCTGCGCTCTATCTCCCGTGTGAAGTGGTATAATAAGGTGAGCAATATTGAGGTTAGGCGTCGATCGATTGCTAGGTAAGGAGGGGAAATCAATCGACGAGGCTGTGAAGCTACACTTACTGAGATGGTTAGGACATGTGTTATGTATGCCTAGTCATTGCCTTCCTCGACCGACGGGCAGTGTTAGCTGACATAGGGTCAGACTGGAAAACAGCTAGAGGCGGTCAAACCAAACCATGGCACCAGTCGATAAAATCCACAACAGTTAGTTTAAGCCAGCCACCTAGGAAGGTGTAGACTGGCTTCCTGGTTGAGGTCGTTGGGACGGTAAAAACCAGTGGTTGGAAACAATTGGTGATATGGCTCAAAGTTATCGTTCTCGACGGCTGGCGAAGATGCATCCACTCCTTGTGACTTATGATTTCCAATGAAACTCTGTTGTTCTTCGTTATTACTATTCCTCTGTCTCACACCTCTGTTTACTGTCTCTATTTTGCATTTCTTCTACTTTCTTCTGTTGCTTTGTGTGCTACATGGAGGTAGTGTGGCGACTTGGACTGGTGCACATCGGTGCAAAGTTCTATGTCAAAAACAGACAGACAGACATAAGAATTGCAGTGGTTTATTATTCTTTTCAGTGCACTGTGGTACAGGATTGGTAAAAATCTGTGCATGAGTAAGTCTCACAAGAGTGAATTCAATCCATCTTATGCAGTGTGACCGTCGTACAATATTCGTTAGTTCTTTTTAAGGAGAATATTCAACATTTCTACTGGAATTCTCTATTTGTTTTGGAAATACTTTTTTTTTAAAATATTTTCCATAAAATATTTTTTCAACCTTTAGTTATCGGTCTGCAGGTGTAATAATCCGTGAACAAAAGTCAAAATTCGTAATTCCAGGTTTAACCAAGGAGGATGCTGAACGTCTCAGATTAGAACGACAAAAGCAATCATCGCAGTCTGGAACAACACCATCGAACACAGCTACAAAAAAGAAAAAGTCTAAGAAAGCTAAATCTAAACAGACGGAGACACAACGTAAGTGCTCTGTTATTGTACACTGATTCCTTAATTCAGGAGAAAAATATATACATATAACTATTAATTCAATTATGCATTAAAAGCAGGTGACTTTAAGGCTCACATTGAAATCTGTGCATTACAATGAAATTACAACTAACTAGACAACTCCAAACTCGTTGCATATTAATTAAGTACAGTACTTATGTAACAGCCGAATACAATAGTATTTAGTAGTGGAATTGTTTATTATCAACTTGATGTACAGACGTAACGAAATATTGAAATCACCATTTGCAAATTTCCTTATTGTGGTTCTTTAGTCATTCTCATACAAGGGTCATTCATTTTTTCTCTTCGTCATTTAATCTATCCCTCGGTTATTCCATATTCTTGCAGATGATATATGCATTTATATCTGTGTATATATACTACTCACAAAATCTTGTTAGTAGCTTATGCCACGACTAACTAGTTAGTGATTATAAAACTGTTAGTTTGGTATATCTAAATGTGCCATTAACTTAGTTGATGGACTTCAGTAAATAACAGAACAATAAACTAAATTAGAATCGGCGTATCTCTCGAAACTGCCTTATGTGGTCGTGCGTTCATAACCTCAGTCAGGAAAAATCCTATTTGTTGACTTCACCTGGTGGGAGGCATTTTTACCAAATTAAAAAGGCAAGTATGAAAGTCTGTGGTTATCACTGAGTGAACTTGTACGTAAAGTTCATCTAGAGATGTTCAGAAACCCTGATTCTGAGTGAGTGGTGGAAAATTGGATGTAGGAAAGATGCGTATGGCTTATGAAATTTGTTCAGGTCACCGGCAATCGTACGTGGAATACGGTCTCTGATATTTTTTTGCTACCTTGGATTGCATGTCAAAGACTCGGGAATCAGGCATCGAAAACAATTAGGTGCTTCGGTTCTAACGTCCTGCTAGAATTTAGGTCCTCAAAACAGACTGTGTTACATTACAATGGGTTGAGAAACAACACTAGGATAATATGTAAGCACAATTAATCTAAATCATTCAGTGGAAGGTCCACTGCTTTGCATCACCTTCAGAAAGAGAGAAGAAAGAAAGAAATTTAGTGGTATGATCTCTTGAATTCCATCCAGGGGATCGTGGTTTCGTTTGCCTAAATGACATTTTTACACTTCTGACTTCTTGAGTGTATTATAGAAATTTAAACTATTCAGACAAGTTGAAATACACTTTCTAATAATAATAATAATAATCCATTACTATTGTTATTATTATTATTATTTTACCCCAGAAATTCCAGAGCAAAAACCAAAACTTGACTCCAAAGAATCATCATTACAACAAACAACAGAAGGTAATAATTGCGACGCTTCAAATGAATTACCTGCAACTACAAGTGATATCGATCGAAAGCTTCGACGTGAACAGAAGAGATTTCTTCAGATAGAAGAAATTGAAAGAAAAAAACAAGCTGGTGAAAAGTTGAACAAAGATCAGTTAGAAAAGTTAAGTCATAAAGCTACTGTTGAAAAACTTATCGAAGATTTGAAAGCTCTTAAAACCAATTGAGATGATATGGTTGTAAATTGAATTGTTTTTTTTTTTGCACCTCCTTACAATTATAAAGAACTAATAGGTCTAATTGTGAATTACTGCTAAATTGGGGATATAAGACAATCATTTTTGTAAAAAAAATTCTTCCCTTTTTTGTACATTTTGACAACTTTATTTTCTTGTTTTCGTGAAGAAGACTTTTTATGTTCAACTATGTGATATAACGACTTTTTCAATACCAGTTTATTTCTTCCATCTCCGTGAAGTCCTGTATATTGCCATCAACCAGCTAACTAACACCAATTCGAAGTACATTGTGACAGCGTGTCGCATAGGTTGGTGGTGCCAAGAGTATGCATTTTTGCTGGTTTTAGTCTAACTCCAACATACTTATTAAGCCTTTGAACAACTTCATAGTTCTTAACGTTCGAAAGACTACTGAACTTCAGGACAACTAGGAATTAAGACGTGGTGCTTGTATTGACTCGAAATTCAAGGCAAACTGGGGGGGGGGTGGCATTCAAGTTCTTCAGTGGTAATGCATACAAATAAATCTGAGTGTACTGCTATGGTGAGTTACTTAGCTTGATGTTTACACAGACTGTCTGTTTTCGACATAGAACTTTGCACCGATGTGCACCAGTTCAAGTCGCCACACTACCTCCTTGTAGCACACAAAGCAACAGAAGAAAGTAGAAGAAATGCAAAATAGAGACAGTAAACAGAAGTGTCAGACAAAGGAGTAGTAATAACGAAGAACAATATAGTTTCATTGGAAATCATAAGTCACAGGGGGTGGATGCATCTTCGCTAGTCATTGAGAACGATTTTGAGCTACATCATCAATTGTTTCCAGCCTTCGTTGGTCTTTATCGTCCCGAGGACTTCAACCAGGAAGCCAGTCTACGCCTTCCTACGTGGCTGGCTTAAACTAACTGTTGTGGATTTTATCGACTGGTGCCATGTTTTGGTTTGACCGCCGCTAGCTGTTTTCCAGTCTGACCCTACGTCAGCTAACATTACCCGTCAGTCGAGGAAGGCTTACACAGAAAACTTCACTGATAGATTTTAGTCAAAGCCAATACAAAGGAGTAGAAATACGACATTGGTTACTGCCTAATGTAGTAGTCAAACCCCATCTAGTTCAGTCTGAACAACTGAGTAATATCACTAGCCCTCACATAATAAGTGTGTGGCTCATAGTCTTGTACATGAAAGAATATTTTGCAAGTAACTAAGTTCGAAGAAAGTGACCAATCAATAAATAGTGCCTGCTTTAACGGCAATCAGTTCTTTTCGTTTTTTTCTTGCGAAAAACTGACCGATCATGAACGACTTGCATAGTAAGCCATACAATACTGTTGAGTCCACTGGGTCAAAATGTCATACATCATGACCTAGGCATGCGTAACACATGTCCTAACCATCTCAATCGATGTGACTTCACAACCTCACTGACTGACTTCCCCTCCTTGCCTAGCACTCGATCGACGCCTAACCTCAATATTACTCACCCTGTTATATTACCTAACACGCGAGATAGGAAGCAGGCACCTATGATCAAAGGCAGCTTGCCAGCCTTTTCATGTCTTCCACTTTCAATGGCCATGTCTCACTCACAGCGATAAAAGAGGACAGAGTCAACTGCTGAGCAGTACACACGTCCTTTGGTCGTCAGAGGGATGTCACGTCTACGACATAGGTGATAGAGGTTGGCATACGAGCCTTTCATTCGTGCTGAGATTCCGTCAACAATCAGTCGGTTGGGGATGATGCAACTCCCCGAATAGGTGAAGTGGTCAACATGCCTCACCACTTCACTCACTATCTTTAAGCTACGAGTGCGAGAGTAATGCGCATCAAATTTTTCGGGTTAATTAGAGAGGCTTAAACTTAACAACTGTTCACTGTGTACGATATCAGAATCTTAAGTATTTCCATATCATGTAGTAGTTGATATAAACCAATTATATTTCTCCCGATAAATCATGTTTAAGTTATCGTGGGGATTTTTAGGAATACAAACAGATACTATCGCAATTAGGGAAAAAATTCCCACTTCACATCTGCACACACACAACAGGAGGTAATAACAAGAGTGAAAGGGAAGTAAAAAATAACATGTTAACGCCTTGTTGGATGCCTCAATATAAAGAAAAAAAAATTCATACATTTGGTTCCCTTGATAAATTTCGATAAAGAAAGGAAGACGAAATTTGCAGTATAAAATGATATCATTCTATTTCACAGGTTCTCATCATCTGCAGACTACCTGAAATTACAGTGGTTATATAGATGATAATAACATAAAGGACAGCAAATTTACTACGATTTGCCGAAGCAATCTCAATCAAAAGACTTAAACCAGACTTATGCATACAGAAAGAGAGTGTGATTAACCTCTCACTCCCTTGGTAGCAGAATTTTGATTAGTCATCTAATTCAGTGATCTCAACTCACTGAACAAATCTTTATCTCATAAACTGTAACCGTTTTTGTTTCTTGAGTTGCTATGTGAACCTACAAGCTAACACTGTTCTGTTTAATCAATTTTTCTGTTTTCTCTCTTACCCTCCCCCTCTTTTCGACTTTAAAAGCGTATAAATTGATGATGAAAACTTAAACTAAAAACATTGTAATGCTTTCATTTAGATGCGTCAATTTTATAGTATCTCTTTTCTACCACCACTCGAACAATAAAGTATGTTATTATCATCTATATAACCACTGTAATTTCAGGTAGTCTGCAGCTGATGAGAACCTGTGAAATAGAATGATATCATTTTATACTGCAAATTTCGTCTTCCTTTCTTTATCGAAAAAAACATTGTTATTAGAAAGTCATTAAAGTTTATATCCTACTGGGATCACTTCTAACCTATACCACCTAAAAGGCATAAACATTCTTCTCACTTATATAATACAGACCCGGTCTCGAACAGAAAGAAGCGTGACCGCTTAAGAAGACTTCACGGAAAGGCGAAAATTCAACATAAAACAATTGCTCTTTCTTCATGAGTTCCTACGTCATCAAATCCTACCAACCGGTGTCAGATACAAACTACCAATTAACTGCCCAGTTGGGTGGAAAGCAGCTGAGACCCGACCTCAACACGTGTAATTTGTCGTTAGTGGTGGGCTGCTTGACTATGAAGCAAAATCTAGGGAACCTGAGACTTCTGACTAACTTTTGCTTTGTAGTGACTACCGCTTTCAGTGAAAGAAAGACTACGTGAGCGATGAGGAATTTAGGCGTAGAAAAGTTGTAAGCCTCAAGCACATTAGTTAACTGGCGCATTTCTTGTTGTGTTAGCGAAAGTAGGACCGAAATGGAAAAAAGTAAAGGGTGGCGGGACCAAGATATGGCGTCATCCTAAGAAGTCAATAACTGATGAGGACCGTGTAAGTTATCGCGATATCTCAGGCATATGGATAGAGGCCCAGAATCGACTAGAAACTTCTCGATCCGCGATTATGTTGTTTATATTTATTTGAGTGATATCTTTCCTTCCTAGTTCAGACACAGTTTAGCGACATGAACCACTATGCAGTGATTCTCGATTATATCATTTACTGATGAATAACATACATAACTCCGTAGTGTGTTTCTAGATGTTTGTCCAGGGGACCTTAGTACTGCCCCACATCTTAACCTGCTTCAACTATTACAATACTTTGGCATAGGTTGTTGGCGAACATGACTGAAGAATGTTTGAAAGGCAAATAGTCATACTGACTGGTTCCAATATAGAAAGAAATTTGCACTTATGTGCAGCAGTTCAACATGCCACACTTCCTTCATGTAGGACACGATTGAATGGAAAGGAGTAAAAAAGGACGATAATAAACAGCAATTTGAGGTAGAAAAAATAGTAACATGCAAAAACAAGGAGTATTCTTCTTGACAACTTCTTCATCAGGCTCTACAGCTATATATTCGTAATCATGAAAGAATTAGGGCTATTAACAACATTAAGTCCCAGTGGCTTAATGGTATACGAGCTCCCCTTGTAACCGGAAGGTCCTGGGTTCGAATCCCGGTGGGTGCGTACTACTGAAGAGCCCCAAACTAGGACGAAACAGCTGTCCAGTACTCCCAGGTTTTAGTGCGTCGGTGTTATAGCGGTTAGGACGCTCGCCGACCATGCACATGGTCTGGGGCTCGGTTCCCGGCGGACGCACTCCTTTACGTCTCTGAGCCAGAAATAATACTGGTAAAGAGGAAAGGTTGGGCATGAGGCTAGCAACCCCATCCTGTAAAATAAACACTGCTACATAATCTTCAAGGCACTAGCTTGAAGCCCTATGTTCCACTGGGAACGTGAAGGTAAAAAAAAACAACATTAATGTTTAAATAACATCGAATCAATAGATTACAGTGCAAAAGCATCCAGTTACCGAAGACTGTGAACAGCAAAGGCTATCGCCATCCGCCTAGAACAACTAGTGCTCTGTGTGCAATAGGAACAAGTCCAACCACTACTACCGCCCAGTCTATAAATTCATGAATTCTGTATTATTTTTCCCAATTTGTGTGGCATTCAGTGTAGCTTTATGTTGATATTATTGATTCAATGTTATTTAAATATTAATGTTGTTAAATAACCGTAATTCTTTCATTATTATGAATATATAGCTGTAGAGACTGATGAAGAAGTTCAGTAATCTGTCTTTTAAAAAACACTAGGATTGGACGGATGAGAGCGATCAAGAAGAGCGAATGGATTTGCGCCATTGAGGATGATTTTTAGCCATTTCTGCAGTTATCGCCGACCACTAGTTCTTAACATCCTGAGCACCCCACAGTCAGGCGGTCTACATTTGCCCACATGGCTCGAACTAACTGTTGAAGATTTTATTGACTAATTCCATGTTTTGATTTGACAGCCACTATTTCTTTCCCAACCTATTCGTATATAGTCAGCTGACGTATGCCATCGAGGGAATTGATGACTAGGCATGCGTGACACACACGCCCTAACCATCTCAATCCATGTGGCTTCACAACCTCATCG